GGCCGTCTTGGGGGCCTCTTGGGCCGTCATGGGGTCATCTTGGAGGCCTCGTGGGCGATCTTGGAACGATCGTGGGGGCCTCTTGGGCCGTCTTGAGCCGTCGGGAGGCCGAACAGAAGCAAATGCCAAAATCCTTCAAACACCTAAGGACAATTAATGATTTTGGCCTCTTTGGCCCCTTCTGGAGGACCTCTTGGAGGCCTCTTGGGCTGTCTTGGAGGCCTCTTGGGGGCCTCTTCGGCCGTCTTGGGCCATCTTAAGGCCATCTCGGGCCGTCTTGGGGGCATCTTAGCCGTCTTGGGGGCCGTCTTGGGCTGTCGTGGAGCCATCTGGGGCAGGAAAACCATCGGCAACCACCTCCGGAAGGGTCTGGGCAATCCTTTCGGGTGGCCGGCGGGACGCGCCGAAGCCTCAGGGGGAGTTCTTTTGGAAAAAACAACCAAACCGAGAGGATTCAGCACGCCAGGCACCCCTCTTGCAAGCAACAGGGGGCGGCGGATTTAATAACCTCCGGCCCATTCCGCCACCCTGCTTGAGTTGTATGTATAAAGCTTATTGGATGTTCGTTGGGATCTCGTGGGGAGCCTCTCGGGGGCCTGTTGGAGGCAGTTTTGAGGCCTCGTGGGGGCCGCTTTGGGGCCTCTTGGGGCCTCGTTTGGGCCTCTTGGGGGCCTCGTGGGGCCTCTTGGGTGCCTCTGGGGGGTCTCTTGGGGCCTCTTTGGTGCCTTCTGGAGCCTCCTGGTGGCCTTTTGGGGCGAAAGGTTCTGATTTTCGGTTCGTGTTTCCTCTCTTGGGCTCCTTTCGGTGCCGTCTTGGGGCCCTCTTGGGCCGTCTTGAGCGCCTCGTGGGCCGTCTTGGGGCGCTCTTAGGCCGTCTTGGGGCCCGCTCGTCGAAGGGGCTGGGATCGGAGGCGCCTGACCCGTGGCTCCGAACGTCCGCACCGTAGTGCTAGCCTGGATCACGAGCCAAGGATGACGGCAGCAGGGACGATCGAGAAATCCCGGGGGCAGCTTGGCTGGAGGGGCGCCATCCCACACGAGGGGAGACGGGCGCACGCCACTAGCTCATGGGGAAGCCCGACAGGCCAATCGAAGGCAGGCGCGCAAGGATACTGCCACCTCGTTATCATCATCAATCGCATTGGGTCATAAGTGGCAGTCATAGCTTGGCACTCGCTGGGGTCTTGGCCACGTCCAAACGGCGCCTGTACAGGATGGCCCCCGAGCCAGGGGAGACAGGAACGCGGTCGCGGGCGATGGCCGCTCGCTCAGGCACCGCAGGGCCGGTGGGCCTTGCTTCTTGAACCGTGGAAGCCTTCGAGACTGGACAAACACTGGTATTGCATTTGCAGTCCTTGATGACCGACCGAAGCGCACCAGGAGCCACAGAGGCAGAGGCAGAGACAGGGACAGAGAGAGAAGGGGGGAGGTGGAGAGGGAAGGGGAGGGAAAAGGAGCAGTAGACGAGTTGTGGGGAATCGGTGAACTCGTTTCGAGCGCGAGTTGCTGAGCACCAAGGCGTGCATCTAGCGATGTGGCACCATCTGAATTCGCGCTCGTGTGTACATACTCGCGATCGACGTCATTGAACATTCGGGCAGTTGTAGGCTGTACAGTGCCACGGATGCCCACGGGGAATCTCATCTTTATCTCGTTTGAAGGCCTCTCTGCCGCCATTCTCCTCCATCTTCCCCGCACTGCCGCCATGGTTCCCCAAATAATGCTTTTACTTCGGGATTCTTACTTCGCTGCCTAAGGGAATTGAGCCTCGGTACCAGTCTGGCGGCTCCGTGGTCACCGTCGCCGCCCAGTCGCCGCCTCGTCGCCGCCAGTCGTCTGGGCTTGGGTGCCTGTCCGGCGGCCGCCTCGTCGCCGCCCCTCGTCTGGGCCTGGGTGCCGGTGTGGCGGCTCCGTGGTCACCGTCGCCGCCCAGTCGCCGCCTCGTCGCCGCCCGTCATCTGGGCCTGGGTGCCGGTGTGGCGGCTCTGTGTTCGCCGTCGCCGCCCAGTCACCGCCTAGTCGCCGCCTCGTCGCCGCCCGTCGTCTGGGTCTGGGTGCCGGTGTGGCGGATCAGTGACCGCCGTCGCCGCCCTGTCGCCGCCCCGTCATCGCCAGTCGTCGGGGCCTGGGTGCCGGTCTGGCGGTCTGGCGGCTCCGTATCCCTGACAAATTCTATGCGTAAGCGTTTTTTTGTTTGTTTGTTGTTTTTTTTATTATTTAAAACAAATAGAAAAAACAAGAGTCCCATGCAACAGTTTGACAAAGTCCACACGCGCGCGGCGATGCGCGCGCTTGCTGGAATCCTGCTTACATCGCAGAAAACAATGTTTTTTCCCAGCATGATGTTTCAAAAGGTCAGCGCGCGCTCTCTTGCGAATTCTTACGAAACCATGCGTTTTCAACAAGTGTGTCAAATGCGACCAGGCGGGCCTCTCGCGCAAGCATGTCGAGATCGTTCGAACGCCCTTGCGCGCTTGCTGGGGGGGGCGGGGTGCGGGGGAGGGGCAACATCCTTGTCAAATAATACCATGCGGGCCACTCGCGCCCGTCGGCCGCGCGCGCCAAAATCCGTCGAACAGTTTGGTCGCCGACACGTGGACACCATCATCGTCATCGGCGTGATCAGCATCGGCACCGGAATTGGCCTTGCGATCGTCATCGGCACCATCGTCACCAGCATCGCTACGATCATCATCGTGTCTGCCGCTGTCGATGTCGCCATGATACTGCGCCCGCCCGAGTCACCGACTCGCACTGAAGTGCCCGCGCGTCAGCGCGGCATGCCAGAAGCGCTGGGAAGCCCCCAGCGGTCAGCGGCACCGCGGCCCCGTCGGTTGCACCAGACTAGCTGGCCGCTCTGCGCGTGAGCCTGCGCGCGCTAGCGTCGCCGCAGCGATGCGCCAGCCAGCTCCAAGCCGTCATCGCAATCGCCGCCGCATGGGTTGTGCGAACAAAGTTGCGCGTGGGTGGGTGGGACGACTGCGCGAGCAGTGGAGTTGACAACTTACTGCGGACCAGAAGTCCTTGAAATACATGGATTGCAACACGTAGGTAGCACCACAGAGAGTCCACATATATTGCACCATCTTGCTAACAGCACACTGTTTGAGGTCCACGTTGGCTAACATCATCATTAAACTGCCTGCGGCAAGGCACGCCAGCGTGCCAGCCCAGCATTCTGGGTGGGCGTTTGAGGGGGTACGGGAGGCCGTCACATGTGACCCCTCGTGGCTCCAGTCTTGGGAAAGCCGTGATGAGGGTGATGAGAGTGATGGGGATGATGGCGAGGACGATGGTGATCGATGAAAATACGATGATAACGATGCTGTTTGTGATGATGGTGATGATGTTGGTGATGGTGGTGGTGATGATGACGAGGATGATCGTGATCATGGTGGTTATGATGATCGGTTTTGGTTGTGTTAGTGGTTGTGATGATGAGGGTTTTGATGTTGATGATGGTGATGGTGATGGTGATCATGGTGTTGGTGATGATGATGGCGATAATGGTGGTGATGATGACGGAAATCATGTGGGCCGTCCTCGGGGCTGTCTTGACCTCCTGAGAGGCAGTCTTGGGGATCCCTGGGGGCACTCTTGGGCCGTCTTGGGGCCCTCTTGCGCAGGCGTGGGGTTCCCTTGGGCCGTCTTGAGGCCCTCTTGGCCGTATGGTGGGTGCCTGGGGGCCGTCGTGGCGCCGTCGTGGGCCGTCCAAGGGCCTGCTAAGGCTGTCGTGGGTCCCGCGGGAGGTCCTTGGGCAGTCTCTTGGGGCCGTCTTGGATGCCTCTTGGGCCATCGTGGAGTCCTCGTGGGCAGTTTTGAGCTGACGACAGCCCGAAAAAAGCGAGAACACGACACTCATTCAGACGCCTAAGAGAATCAATGATTTCGGCGTCTTCGGACTCTGTTGGAGTCCCTCTTGTGGCCCTGTTGGGCCCTCTTGGAGACATCTTAGGCCGTCTTGAAGCCATATTCGGTTGCCTTGGGGCCATCTTGGGCAGTCTTCGAGGCATCTTGGGCCATCGTGGTGTCCTTGGTTGCCTGCACGGGCCGTCGTGGAAGCTCGAGACGCATATCCATCGTTCTGTCTAGGGATCGTGTCTTGGGAGACCCTGGATCGCTTGGGAGCAGCGCCTGGGAATGCGAGACGTGCACGATCCTCGAGCGGGTGGCTGTGGGATCAGGGGTCTAGGAAGTAGCAGCCATGGCAGCCATGCGGGGAGTGCGCCATCCTCTAGCGGACGCGGGACCATACGGGTTCAGGCATTAGCTGCCATGCGGGAAGGGCAACACTCTCGAACGGGCTCGCGTGGAAGGGGGGGGTCAGGCATTAGTTGCCATGCGGGAAGTGTAGCATCCTCGAGCGGGCGCGCACGGAATGAGGGTTCAGGCATTAGCTGCCATGAGGGAAGTGCACCATCATCGAGCGGGCACGCGTGGAATCTGGGATTAGGCATTCGCTGCCATGCTGGAAGTGCACCCTCTTCGAGCAGGCGGTGCACGCAAGAGTCATCTAGTAGAGGGAAGGGCGGTCTTTTTACGTTTGAAAAAACCCTATCAGCCAGACCCCGATCCCCCACACCTGATCGTGCCAGAGGGCACGGTGGCGGATTAACATTCTTATGTATCTTCCCCTCCCTTGTCCTCTGCCCCCTCCCGAGCCCCCTTTTTCCCCTTTTTCCCCTTTCCCCTTCCCTTCTCCTCCTCCTCCCCCAACTCCTCCTCCTCCTCCTCCTCCTCCTCCTCCTCCTCCTCCTCCTCCTCCTCCTCCTCCTCCTCCTCCTCCGCCTCCTCCTGCTCCTGCTCCTCCTCCCCCTCCTCCTCCCTCCCTTCTCCGCCTCAGCCCTCGTCGACCTCCTCCTCCTCCTCCGCCTCCTCCTCCTCCTGATCACCGCCGTCGTCACCACCCCCGCCGCCTCCTCGTGGACCTCACCCCCCCCCCCGCATGGAGCGCGCGGATGGAGCGCCGCCCGTCCCGCCGCCCGCCTCCGACGCCCTCGGAGGTGCGGGGCGCCTCCCGCAGCCCCCCGCCCACCGCCCCCTCCGTGTAGCGTACCCGCGGCGCCCGGCCGCGCCGCGGGGGCCCGAGGCGGGGCGCGGCGCGCGGGGGAGCAGGGGCGGGGAGGGCGAGGCACGCTGGAGGGTTCGGGGGGAGGGGAGGGGAGGAGGGGAAGGAAGAAGAAAAAGAAGAAGAAGAAGAAGAAGAAGAATGGAGGAGAGGGAGGAGGAGGATGAGGAAGAGGAGGATTAAGAGGCACCTGCGCAAGCAGCTTGAGCTTGACAGAGGGGGCTTAACACGGCGTCCGTGGCCCCAATAATGTTTCGTGTAGCTCCGAGCTCGCGGCCGCGATGCGCTGCAGGCAAGCGGCAAGCCGACGGTCCCCAAGCCGGCGCACAGCCATCTGGCGGCGGCCGTGGCGACGCCGTGCAAGCGGATTGCCGTCCAGATCCACGGCGGCCGGCGGCCACGTCGCCATGTAACCGTGGACGCCCCACCAGTGCCCCCCAGGAGTTCGCCCAGACCCCGCTGCAGGTGACGCCTGCCTCCTTCAGGGCGCCCCCTTTTGGCCGCCTTGGGGATCTCCGCAATCGTCGGTTCATCCGTACTTGTTCAGTGTCCCTGGTGTCAGTGTCGATCTCGTTCCGTTCGTCGCGGTCATCCGCCAGGAATGGCTCCTGGTGAATCCCCACTTCAACTGCCACATCGTCTTGGCGGGGCATGGAGTAATTATCCTCACCACGTTCCCGATAGGCCCGTCGGTCGATCTGGAGTCGTGGAGCGGTTGGGGTTTTGAGAACGGTGGATGGAGGAGAGAGGAGATGGGAATATTGAATGAGGAGGGAGGATAGGGGGAGGGAAGGAAGGAGGGAGGAGGGATAAAGACGGCGGGAAAAGAGAGGATGGAGAAGGGAGAACGGGGGAAGGAGCCAGTGCCATGGGGGCAAGTGGCAGCTGCATCAGCATTACCCCTTGGACGCACTTCGAGGAAAGGTTGCCTTGTTAGCATCTGGCAAACAGCCTCACAGGGCGCCCCGTTCCAGGACCGCCCTGCACCCAGCTCCGACGGCGCCCCCAAGACAAGAGGGGACGAGCCATGCAGCTCCCGGGCTGCCACTACCTAGGAGCGCGCAGCCGTCTGCGTTGAGCTTCGCCCGCTCGCCCTACCCACGGCAGTTGGTCGCCAGTCGGCGCCGAGGCTCGCCCCAGCACCGTCGGCCGCTCACAGGCGCCCATTGCCTACGCCCATGCTGGCGACCCAGCGCCGCACTGCCGAATCTTATCGTTGCCGCGCCGCCCCCGCTCGGAGCCCGATGCGTGAGAACTTGCAGGCCCCTCAGAACAGACTGGCAGACTGGCAGATTGGGCGACCGCCGGCTTCCAGGGTCAATGGGCGCGTCTGGCCGGCCCCGCGCTGCGGCTGGCATCTCCGCCCCGCCGCATGGCCACCCGCGGCACGGCCTGCGTGTTGGCCGCCGTCCTCGTCCAGGACGGCGCACTTGCGCTGCCCCTGGCCGCCCCCCCCCCGCTGCCTGCCACCCCACGCTGCGCCGGGCTCCCCCCCGCACCCCCCTCGAACAGGTGGCAGGCAACGGCATCGCATCCGCCCCCGTCCAGAGCCCTGCTTCAGCAGCTGCTTCCGTCGGTGTCGTGCAGGCATCCCCAGCGGCGGGCCATTGCAAGGTGAGGGTTCAGTTGTCGTTTCCCCGCCGTCTGCCAGAGAGTAGCCTCCAGCGCTGAAGACGCGTCCCCAGAGCCTGGGAGGGAGCCGCCGCTGAATCCCAATTGGCAACCGGAGATCGGCACTGCCAGGGAAGCGGCAGGCACCTCAGCAGCAGCTGCAGGAGACCGATGGGGGGAGACAGAACGAAGGACGTGAATTGAAGAACATGCGAACGTGGATAATGCAGCGGCAGCAGGCGGAAGAAACGGGAGCAACGGTAGGGATGTAATGTGGACGGGGAGAAAGGTGAGGTGGGAGGGAAAGGAGAAGGAAGCAGGATGCCGAGTAGGAGAACGAGTCCGAGGATGATGATGATGAGGAGGAGGAGGAGAAGGAAGGACGGAAGGGCACGGGAACGACGACGCAATATGACCATTAACATAAGGAAGAACCGAAGAAGAGCAGAGACGAGAGCCAGGGACAGGGATGCGCGCAGCAGCAGCAGCAGCAGGAGCGTGGGCAGTGGTATGAATAAGAGACTGGAGAGCAGGAGTAGGAAGAGATTAGGCAGCAGCGGAGGCATTAACAGCAGGAGAAGGATGGGGAGTAGCATCCTGGCAGCAGTATCAGTGACGGCAGCAGCAACACAAGGAACGGAGGATGCACACGTGAGGAGCAAGAGCAGGAGGCGGAGTAGACGGAGGAGCAGGAAGAGATCGAAAGGAGGATGCGGGGGCGAAGGAGTTAGGAGGGAGGAAGACAGGGACGAGCAGGAAGAGCACATTGACCACCACGAGGAAGACGAGATCGAGAACGAGGACGATGAAGATGCAGGGCAGGCTGCGGAAGAGGAGGCGGAGGAGGAGGAGGAGGAGGAGGAGGAGGAGGAGCAGGAGGAAAGGAGGCCGGAGACAACGACGATGTCGAGGACGTCGAGGACGATGGGGGGAAAGAAGTGGCTCAACAGTAAAAGAAGAAGTGTGTTAAAGGAAGGAGATGAAAAGTTTGGAGGAGGGGGGGGCGGAGGAGGAGGAGGAAGGAGAATGGAGGAGGAGGAGGGAGGAGGAGGAGGAGGAGGAGGAGGAACAGGAGCGTGAGAGGAGGAGAGGGGTGATGGGCAAGGAGGAGACCCCCCCCTTCCCGTCCGCCCAGCGGGTCCTCCCCTGCAGCGGCATGAAGCCGCGCGCAGCCGTGGCGGCCTTGGTCGCGGCCGCGCTTGCGCCTCGCAGCGCCGAGGCCGTCCGCCGCCCCTCGCATGTGCTGCTGCTCGTCCTCAGTACTGCAGCTCTGGCGCGAACCCGGCAACCTCCTGGCCGAACCAGCGGCTGCTTGAACAAAGCTCTGATTCATTGCTCCCGGTTTCTGCTGGATTGGTTCTGAGATGGTCGATGCGCATCGGTATGGGGATGAGGAGGGGGGGAGGGGTGGGGGGGGGGTCAAAGCGGGTTACCTATTGTTCGTCGTCTTCTCGTGCGCATTGGTTTCCCAGCCTTCCTTCGGGCTCTGGTGATAGAGCATCTGGTGTCTGTATTCCTCATCCTCCTCCTGGTCCTCCTTGCTCAGCGTGCCCTCCTCGTCCTCCTCGCCCTCTTCGGGGCTGCCGAACGTGGGTCCGTCCCTACTTCTTCTTCCTCTCTCTCTCTCTCTTTCTCTCTGTCTCCCTCTATCCGCCCTCCATGTTTCAATCAAGACAGCTGTTTGACATCTCACATACAAAAGTATACATTCTCTCTCTTCCTGCCCCATCCCATTTCACTCTGGTAGCGGAGCCTGGTTGCAACCGACCAGGGGTCGGTGGCAAATCCAGCTCCATTCCACGGAGCCGGGGGCTGACGCCCTGTTGGTTGAGCGTCGCCATGACATCTTACGTCGTCTCCTGCTTCCAATGGAATCGACATGATCGTCGCGGAGTGCTTCTTGACCGAGAACATCCCTATTAGCATCGGCGGCCACTCGCCCTACCAGGCCCTGCGCGGCCGACTACCACCTATCATCTTCGCTGCCCTGATACGCTCGTCCGCGTTGAAACGCCGCGTGTTGACCTGGCGCGTGTTGGCCCGCGCTTGGGCGAACGTAGAGCGCCAGGCCTATGTTTTCAGTCTGCGCTTTGAGCTCCATGTCAACACGCCGCGGGTTACGTGTTGCGTTTCGGGACTGCTAAGCCTATCATGGCTGAGTTCGAGCCCGCCTCGGAGACCCAGCTGGGCGATCTCTGAGCAGGAGTTCCCGGAAGTAATCAACATCGCCGTCGATTTCGGGAGAAGGTCGCCGTGCAGTCCATGGTGGGCCTCACGGCTAGGCAGCGCGTCGAGCGGGCCATGCGTGCCCGGACTCGGCGGACAACGGAGTCGCTCATGTTGGATCCAGGCGACCTCGTAGATTTCCACTGGGCTCCGACGTCCAAGGACGACAGCGGCTGGCACAGTGACTATCCACTGGCAGGCGAGGTTTATGCAGCGCCAGACGCAGAACGTTAGGCGCGCCCAGGTATCCCTGAGCATGCTCACCCATCATGCCAGAGACTGGCTGGGACCATCGCCGACGCAGGTCCTGACGACCTTCGCCGACTCGACCAGCAAGCAGACGATCCGGCTGGGCTTGGTGCTGCGCGGGTTGACTAAGGCCATCGCCAAGCACGGCGAGGTGCTTTCGCTCTCCTGCATGTGGCGGCCTGTGGCTTCCACCTCAGGTTGTGTAGGTGGACGTGTCGGTCACGGAATCTCCGTCTTCAAGGGCGTTGAGGAAGTCGACGGCAGCTTCCTCAAGTGGTGTCGTGAAGGTCGACCAGGCCTATACTGATACGTACATTATCCTGGTATGGCGAGGCTCAGGTTGACCGAGATCTTCGGCAAGGATTGGCAGACCACGTCCACCATGTGGTTCCTGCTGGCCGGCAGCGAGCAGGTGGACCAGCTGCGCCGCATGGAGGTGGACGCGCCCAAACTGGGCGGACCTCACGATCCCGAGGTGGAATAGGGTGCGTCCAGGAAGCAATGAACATGTGTAACATGAGAGGCCATTGCGCAAGCTCCGTGCACACATCGTTGAGCAACATCTTGGGTGGTCGATTGTTTGTCACCGCCGGTTGAATACCGGAGGAAAGAAGTACGTTTATTCTTGGTCGTCTGTTCCAGATACGTGCTGTTTGGTGACACCAGTGTTCGGCATTGGGGAGCAGAGCCATTGCCGTCTGCCAGATCAGCCGCAACTCGCAAATACCCATTAGACCCAATGTCAAAGCCTCGCGCCAAACCCGCTTAGACCCAAAAGGGCACTGATGGCGAGAAGAGGTGCGAAAGCACGAAAGGTTACCTGCTGGCGCCAGTGACTCTGGCCAGAACGAGGGGGCTTCGAACGGTCTTACAGTGTTCCCGGCTGCGTCGCTGAAGTGGGGTTCCGCTGTACGTATCGCACTTATTGTTGTTCTTCTTGATTGAGGCCTTGTCTTGAACACCAGCCTGGTGCAACCCCAACAAGCGCATAAGCCCTCCAGGGAGACGTTTGACCCCCCAGGAGTGGTCAAAGGCCCCACTGGGGGGTTGCTGGGCTTGTTGGAGTTGTAGGACATCCTTTGACTTCTTGTTGAATTCCTCTGGACATCCTATAGGAACCCATCGCGGTCTGAAGGGAACCTTATGTAAGAATTCCCAGGATCTCACTTGGTTCCTGGACATCTCCAAGCTCCCCCATGGATGTCCAAGGACATCCTTCGGATTCCTTGGGGCACCCTTCGGGCTCCTTCTCAGACCTCAGACAATCACCCAGCTTCTTCCAGGAGTCTTCAAGGTTCCAGGGAAACCCTCATGACACGGGGACTGTTCTGGGCCCATTGACGAAATCCGCTGGGAACCCGCAGGATCCTTTAATCAGGAAGCCCATCGCAATCTGAAGGACATAGAACCGAATCCCAATTAATTCTCTTGCTGCCCGTAGAGCTCCAAAAGGAAATCCGGGGACTTCTAAAAGAACTCCTTGGAGTCGGGAGGCATTCCCCAGGACATCCCATGGAAATTCGCAGAACATCCCAATGGTCCCCAAGACATCCTATGGAAATCCTTTGGCTTCCAAAGGAAGTCGTGTGAATTCCTGGTCAAATCTTTGAGGTCCTGACAAACCCCTCTGGATTCCTCGGGGCATCCTTAAAATCCCAGCAACAGTCCTGAGGAAGACTTCAGGCTCCTTTCGGACATCTCAACGAATGAATGATCTTCAGGAAGTCCGAAGGACACCGGAAGGAATACACAGGGTTCATTCGGATGTACTTTTGGTTTCTTTGGGACATCCCCTTGGGGGGTGCAATATTGATCTCTTAACTGGCCACTACACCATTGCACGATTTTGGAAAGGGTGTAGCCCAGCTTTACACCCATTTTGGGAGTGGCGCACGGCTTACATCACTACACCATCACATAATTTTGGACGTGGTGCACGGTTTACACCATTACGCCATGGGGTGTTAGAAACACCCTCAAGAGCCCGTCTAGCCAGCCGCAGGCTGGACCAGCCAGTTGCGTGTGATTGTGTGCGTGTGTATGTATGTGTGGGTGGGTGTCTGTGTGTGTGAGTGTGTGTTGATCTCCCCCAAGGATCGCGGTGTAATGGTGTGATGGTGAAATGGGTTGTTGAGGGTGTTCTTGACGCCCCGCAAGGGATCCTTGGAGGTTTGGGGGGCCAAGGACGTTCACAAGATGCCGCATGGGGTACTCGGGCGGCTCAGGGAGGCCCTTGGCCCTGAGGGCTCGTGGGCGGAGCCCCGCGGGCTCCAGGACTACCAAGACATCCTAAGATTGCCTCGACAAGGGCCAAGAGACCCTTCTTGGGCCAGGTTCCAAGAGGAACCCGAAGAGGGCCCCAGGGCCACTAGGGCCCCAGGAAGCCCAAGTCGTCACATTCCTTGAGAAAAACATGCAGTTTAAGCATGTTCGCTTCCTGGGATTCTGCGAAAGCCTTACGCCAAGTGCCGCCGACCCTGACGACGACGACGACGACGACGACGACGACGACGACGACGACGACGACGACGACAGTGACGACGACGACGACGACGACGACGACGACGACGACGACGACGGCGGCGGCGACGGCGGCGACAGCGACGACGACAACGGAGACGGCGACGACGATGACGACGACGAGGACGATGGCGACGACGACGACGACGACGCCAACGACGAGGACAACGACGACGGCGGTGACGGGCACAACGTCGACGGGGGCAGTTTGGGGGCCTCTTGGGAGCGTCTTGGGGGCCTGCTGGGAGCTCTGGGGGTCCTTTTGGGGTTTCTTTTGGGCCTCTTGGTTGCCTCTTGGGGCTTCTTGGTGGAGGCTCGAAGTTTCCGTTGGCGGTCCATCTCTGGGGCCCCTCGTGGGGCTGTCTTGGGGCCCTCTTGGGCCGTCTTGGGCGGCTCTTGTGCTGTCTTGGGGTCCTCTTGGGCCGTCTTGGGGCCCTCTTGGGGCCCGCTTGGGCCGTCTTGGGGCGATCTTGGAGGCCTCTTAGGCCGTCTTGGAGCGTCGGAAAGCCGAAAAAGGTGGAAACGCAAAAATCCTGCAACAACCTAACGAATATCACGGATTCTGGCCTCGTGGGGCCCTCCTGGGACGCCTCTTGGGGCGCTCTTGGGGCGTCTTGGGGGCCTCTTGGGCCATCTTGGGGCCAGACTTGGACACCTCTTGGGCCGTCTGGAGGCTACTTCGCCGCATTGGACCGATAATTCGTCGATTCGGGGCCCTCTTGGACCGTCCTGGGGGCCTCTTGGCCGTCGTGGGGCTTTTCCGGGACACCCCTCCTTGGAGCTCCCCCTTGCCCCGGGGAATGGATCAAAGGGAGGGGGCCTCCCTTTGACGTAATGCGACGTTGGTCTGTTCGGCGACGGGCTCAGGGAAAGGAGCAAGAGCGGCGACCTCGATGTGGGAGCGGTGATTTCGACGACGAGGCTCTCGACGTGGGAGCGGTGACGTCAACGACGAGGCTCACGACGAACAGCGTCTTGACGACGACGAACCGCGTGTTCCACACGCCGACAGGGTCGGCGGATTTCACAGTGTCCGAAACGGATCCAGGAGGCTTCACGACGACTCAACAGGACCCAAAGACGGGTCCAGAGAGCCCCAAGACGGTCCCAGGGGCGCCCACGACGGCTCAAGAGAGCCCCAAGAGGGCGCCCACGGGAGGCCCAAGACAACCCCAAGAGGGTGTCCAGAGGGGTCGTGGGGCATTACCTTGAGCGAGTGGGTCC